CTGAGCACCTGAACCGCCAATGCTCACCATTCAATATAAACCACTACAATATAGCCAATTACATGGACGAGGAGGATCATATCTCTCCACAACTTCCTATCTTTTGTAGCTCTTAGCTATGGTAGTCTTTTTACTATCCCCACTTTATACTGCCATACTCGCAGATTTCCCCTGTATCTCTTTGTTTGATCATTTCACACACACCCCCTCCCAGCTGGGTGATAATGCCACTAAAACGCAAAGGGTTACTGGAGTGGGGGAGGGTGAAAAAATGAGACGACTTTAGGGGAACAAACTGGAAACCCAATCCGGGTAATTTCAGGGTTTAAGCCTAATAAAAGTTTCTAATAATAGTTTCTAATAAAAAAAATTCCGTCCTGGGTATGACGATAAACTACGTCCGGCAGTAAGGCCTCTGATCAGCAGGTTTTAAGGAACGTGGAACCAGCTCTTAATTTCTGGTGTTCCCAGTTCCACTCTGACCCGGGGTGGCAGCACCTGTTAGGGTCCAAGCTATGGGCAAATAGTTAACCCCTAAAAGTGGTCAAAATACAATGAAAATATAAAAACAGGTTTTAATAACAGTAGTACATTTTTGAAAAAGAAAAATATTACCAGCAACACATTTTTGGAAAAAATATTACTAACAATAAATTTTTTGAAAAAAAATATTACCAGCAATAAAAATCTTGTAGGCATTAAATAACCCAATGAGGTCGATATGCCGTAAAACAAAATACCCCACCACCAAAAAACAAAAAACAAAAAAAACAATAAGAACATTACATTAGTCTGAAGACCTTTTACAGAATAAAACAGAATAAAACGTGTCACTATTGCACTTTTGCGCCACTTTTTCTTTTTAATTAGTGTGATCAGTTATTTTTAATAATTTTATTTACCTTTTTTTGGCTTCTTTTTTGTGTGTGTTTCTATTTCTGTACCAAGTACGTCCAATGGTAGTTATGTTTATCTTATTCTTGGCTCTTAAAAAAAAAAAAAAACGTAACCAGGGGGGGTGCGAAAATGGAATAGCGCCTAAAACGTGTTAAACAGACTTTTTTCTTTGCATTTTGTCTTTCATTTATCCATTTATCATATCAATTTATGAATATATGTTTAATCATTCAACCCCAAGCATTGCTACAAAGTCACTAAGATGAACTTAAAATCTAACTTTAAATGCGCAAACCGTAAAGATTAGGCAAAACGGGTTTAAAATATTTAGAAACATTATGCAGTAATTTATTAGTTTCGTCATTATAATTATTATTGAACGTATAACACACTTCAGGAAGTGAAAGTCATTTAAATTCGAAGTTAGCTCGGAAATTAGCTAAAAACAAACAAAAAAAACAACAAAAAAAAAAAAACAAGCAAAAATAAAAAAAAAAACCCTTCAATTTGAAGGCGATACTTCGAAATCTAGACATTGGCCCCAAACTTTAACCAAAAGTAAAGTATCGTTTCATACGAGATACAAACGATAAGTAGAAATTAATTAACTGTTATGTTAAGCAGTGTTCGTTGAGAGTGTGGGTCTTTCCGCGTGTTGAACCTAAGAGGGAAATTTGATTCTCTTTTTGTCTCGTTTTGGCTGAGGAGGAAGTGACGTAGGGCGTTTCTGATTTGTCGCTTGCTATTTCAAGATCAGTTTTTTAAAATTATAAGCTTCGCATTATATTTTTTTCGTCTCCGATGCTACCTGAATTTTACCAAAAACAAAAAAAATTTCCATGCCTGAAGATGACTAAATATACAGTCGAAAGTATTTGCGTATTTAAGAAAGACGTTATACATCTTACAATTTAAAAAACAAGGATCATAATATTAATCGAGTGATTGGTAGGTGAATGCAGCTTTAAAAATTGTTAGCAAAGGGATTTCGCCATTTTATATCATTAACTTTACTAATCTACTTTTTGTATGAATGATTCATTGTAATATAAATTGAACTGCACCACATATTTGATATATATATATATATATATATATATATATATATATATATATGTGTGTGTGTGTGTGTGTGTGTGTGTGTGTGTGTGTGTGTGTGTGTGTATTTGAAGTATTTTATGCTCAACTCTCGAAGCTTCAACCTGTGTCTGGTGATAAATCTAGCGACTTTCGAGCCAAATTGAATGATTTGGCTCATTCTTATGCTAGTTCCCCTATTTCTTCCTCTGGATCGAAATGGAGAAGTGAACACCATAAAGTTATTAGATCCCTTGAGAATAACCATTCTTTGGTTATTACGAAACCGTATAAGGGATCGGGTGTTGTCCTCATGGACCGCCATGATTACATTAATAAAATGTTAAGTATACTGAATGATCCTTCCAAGTTTCAACGTCTTGGTTCCATTGACACTCATGATTCCACGCTGACTTCTGAAATTCGATTTCAGAAACGTCTTGTCAAATGGGTAAAAAGTGGTGTTCTTTCTTCTAAAATGTCGGAGGAATTGAGACCGTCTGGCTCTATTCGTCCCCGTCTTTATGGATTACCCAAGATTCATAAGGAGGGTGTCCCGTTGAGACCCATATCGATGATTCGGTCTTCTCAGCTTAAAGTCGCAAAGTGTCTGGCTATAATGTTGCAACCAGTGTTGCAGCATTATAGTTCCTTTTGTATTAAAGATTCTTTTACTTTTTCCCATTTTATTCGGAATTGTGATGCCACTGATGGATTTATGTGTTCGTTTGACATTTGCAGTGTGTTCCTTTATCGGAGACTATTGATATTTATAGTGATTTGTTATATCGTAGTAATTTAACCCCTCCGACTATACCTGAAGATGTTTTTGTTGAACTCATGAAATTTGCCACCATGTCTGTCGATTTTAGTTTTGATAATATCATGTATAATCAGATTGATGGTGTAGCGATGGTTTCCCCTTTGGGTCCTGTTTTGGCGAATATTTTTGTGGGATTTTATGAGGAAAGCCTTATTTTAGGTTCTTCCCGGCCCAAGGTTTACTTTCGTTATGTGGATGACACTTTTTGTTTGTTTAACCATGAATCGGAAGTTGATCATTTTTTCTCTCTACTCAACGGTGTTCATCCTGCCCTTAAATTTACGGTAGTTCAGGAGGTCAATGGTTCATTGCCCTTCTTAGATGTTCTGGTTCACAGAACACCTTCCTCGTTTATTACTTCAGTGTATAGGAAGTCTACTTTTACGGGTCTCTATACTCGATGGGACTCGTTTTGTCCTAAACAAAAGATTAATTTAATAGGACTTTGACCTATAGGACGTTAATGATTTGTTCAGATAACACCTTGAAAGAGGAAATTAGTTGTTTAACTAGTATCCTTGTGAACAATGGTCATCCATTGGATATTGTTGAATCAGTTATTCGGGATAAGACTGCCAGGTTTAATAAAATTAAACTTGCTACGGCTGGTAAATGTCAAGTCTATCTTCGTTTACCGTGGTTGGGTAGGATTAGTGAGTCCTTCGCCAAGCGGATTTCATTTCGTTCCCGTCAGTGTTATTGTGAAGCCAACGTTTGTGTTGTTTTCCAAACAAAGTCTGTCCTTTCATCTGAGTGTAAAGACGTTCTACCCACCGACTATATTAATTCCGTTATTTATTATTTTAAATGTAGTTGTGAACTCGACTACATAGGTAGAACGACACATTGTTTAGATGTTAGGATTAAACAGCACGTGCCCGCTAAAATACTTAACAAAAATTTTTCGTTTGGTGATACCATTTGAAATACATACGGTTCTTCTATAGCGGATGACTTGATAAATAATCTGACTTGTGGTATGGATTTTAGTCTGAGCTGGTTCTCTGTTCCGGCCAGAGCACACTCGTTATTTCATCTGAAGGTTTTGAAGAAGCTGTTCATCAGATCCAGGCGACCCCCTCTTTGTAAACAAAGAGACTGTTTGCTTGGACTTGCGATGCCGTGTCTCTAGCATCTTTGGTGTTATAACTTTTATTATTATTATTTTTTCCCTGTCCATTCATTCACGTCATCCGCGACAGACTTTCTTCTCATAATTTGTTTCCCCGTTTACACTTCTGACGAGAGGGGACGAAACCGGTCGACTTGTGTTCATGTTTTTGTTTTCAAATTTATCATGGCTTATAGTAAAAAGTTTCTTGACTTTAATGCCGTAATACGTTTTTGTACCGTTAAAAATATAAATATATATATATATATATATATATATATATATATATATATATATATATATATATAGGTAAAAATCCGTTGTGAGTAATCCAAGTGAATCATATTAATATAAAATATTAAAACTGAACCAAAAAGAGAGCGCCATGGTGTTGGCCATATATCATATGGGGTATTGATTTTTATCTATTTGTAATCTATCTATCTATCTATCTATCTATATATATATATATATATATATATATATATATATATACCTAGTGTGCACCAACCTTGTCCTACTCCGAAGCAACTGCGTGGTGAGAAAATTCGCAAATACGGGGTCGTCAGTGATGTTTTGATTTGGTTCATCAGGGAGTTTCGGGTCTTTCAACATCATACTCCCCATCACCAAATTGACCCAATCAGGGGAGATCAACCCCTGATTCCCCCCCCCTTCAAACTAAACGGTAACAGCCACTCTGGC